CAGAATAATAAACAATTTGATCCGGTGCTCGACCTTCCTTCTTCTTCAAGTATAAGGCCAGTTTCGCTTTTTTTTCTTTAGTTCACTTAATTCGCCTATCAAAAGTCGCATCTTCGTGACTTTTAATAGTCGCTGTCGAAAACCTGGAGCAGCCGACGGCTAAACCTGGTCTATTCTAAATATTTTGACAATTTTAACCGGCTCAATGCCCATAAGCAATGCTCTAGCATACTTTCGAACGAGATCTCGGTTGTTCTCCACCTTCTCACAAAATATTCACACAACATCTACCACTAATATGGACTACCGCTCCATAGTTTGTGATTGCAGTGCGTCCTGGAGTACTGGGTGGGTCTCTTGCTAAACTTGCATCACCGAGCGCTGCCACTAGACGCCACCAGACGCCTTTAACGATTCCGCGCCCGTTTCTAATCCAGTGAGAACTTAGACGCGCACTAACATTTTCGCACGCCAACTTTAACATCAAAAGCAACGGTCCTACACTATATACATTCACTAAACAGCTTACTCAAATAAGGATTCCACATAAACAGCCGACACAACCTACTCACTCCTACTTCTATTGTTTTGGAAAAAGAGCTGTCGTTCCAACAGCAATGTACAGAGTTAATACCTCCTTCTTCTCTTCCTCACGACGGCGCATTCTCTCGAACGACTGAAACAGCTCAACCGTATCATTAATTTTCCCCGTCACTCGCAATAGCTCATCGAGCATGGCCTCCTTTTCCTTACTGCTTCCGAACTTGGGATCTGTCATGGGTTCAACGTAGGCTCCCAGTCTTTTTTCGAGGTTACGAAGGCGGTCAGCAGTTTCCTACAAGGGAATACAGGAGGTTGTGAGGAAAACCTACCAATAAATACAAAGTTTATGGAACAGACTGTCATATTTACAAATTGGAATGCGCCGTTCGCACAAAGCCTCACGCCTTTACCTACTTATTGCTATGTGATAATTACTTTCAGATGACAGAGATCGCTCATATTGACTGGACATCAAATATGCAAAATGTCACCATCTGTCCGATGAGGTTAAGACAGCAAAACTGGTTGTTCGATTCCTCAAATAGCTTATATGTAATAGGTTTCGGGAGTTTTTTTAAAGCTGCGTCGATTTTATTCAACAAACATCGACAACAATTCTTCAGGTATATCAACAAACATGACCAAATTTGCATGCGCAACTGAGTCCTCAATGAAGATAGTCCTATTCCCTGTGAACAGTCCTAAGCAAATATGACATCATCCACAACACGCAAAGAAAGGCCTGATACGTGGCAGGTCGTGCTGTAACGCTACTATGTGTTTTGAAGTGCTCTTGTGATCGCTTTTCTCGCCTCCTCTTTAGCAGTGTTCTATAAATTACACATATAATGGAGCCTCGGGTGAAGAGTGGCAACAAATTCTAACATTTCAACGAGCCACTAGCCGAAACTCTGTTTCGAGTGACGAGCATACATTGAGTCAAAAGAGTAGGTAAGTCGTACGGGCGGGTGCCTGTGTCCGCCGTTGACAATTGCCCCCAAGGCGTGGCTCCTCGGTCGCCTGGAGTCAGTGCACTTTGTTTGGCTACTTTACGGAACGAGAGTGTTTCACGTGAAGAGCTCGTTGTGTCGGATCGGATTAATCTCGTTAACCGGGATTCCGGTTAAAATTACGGACACCCATAAGCGTGCAAGTCAGACTGAAAACTCCCTGCTGTGTGGGGGAAGTTAATTGCTGGGATCCATCTCGTAAGAAATCTAAACAAAGCAGGTATACGACGAGACATTACATTAGTATGTCAGGTAACCGGGTACCACTATTGATACACCAAAAGGACGCAGGGGTGTGAGCTCATCATAAAGGACACGCGTGGATATTTCGACTGAACACTTACTGAATAGCCCAGCCACACACCCCTCCCTATCCTAGTAACAACAAACATCTCCCGTCCACAAGTATATAAGGGAATGCGCACTCACTGAATAAGCTGCCACTTACCTGCAACTGCCTCAGGGTAGCATCATCTGGCAGAGTACAGGCTAAACCTTGAACCATACCCTCGA